TCAAAACTTCCTTGTCGGGGAAATATATACTCTAATTTTAATAGTTATGCAGCATCATATTTATGGATGTATTATAATTAATCAGCCAGATTTTTATCATATGTCATTTACATTATTTCTAGTTTTTGTAGTTAGAAAAAAAATAATGCCCATTCTTGCAGCTGACTTTTGCACCAGACTTGATCATTTCTGTAGGGTCAGTTTTTAGATATCAACTTGCCAAATCCAAAGGCATATTTGTTAAAAGTTTCTACAAAATACATGCAGAAATGCCCTTTACATCCTGCTAGAGGGCAGATGAGAAATGCCTTTTTCCTTGCCGGCCCATTGTTCCGATTTTACGAACATGGATACCGAGGTTTAGGAAAGTCAAGCACGGGTCTAGAGAGGAACACGGCCAGCGAGTGGTATTATCTTCCAACTCCAGATATGTTGTTCCCCACCTCTGTTGTTATTCTTGTGTTTCTTACAAATCCAAAGAGAGCGTAAGGACTCTTAAGTGCCAAACCAATGTTGCGGTCCCTGAAGGGCCAGGCAGAGGTGGATGTGATCTGTTGGTGAGCCAGGCCTTGGAACTTTGCTAACGTTACTTCCCAGAGGTCTGAGGCCAGCACGGCAGACTGGAGAGCTGTGCTGGGCAGGTTTGTGCTGTTCTCTCTTTTCCTCCTCTGGGAAGATGCAAACTGCTTAAATTAGTGCTAGTCTATTAAAAATCTAGCATGTACCTAGGCCTGACAACCCAAATATGAAACACACACACACACACACACACACACACACACACACTCCTTCTCTGCAAGGAGAGTCAGGTGAGAAAGAAAGGAAGCCCTGCCTGCTACGTGTCTCCTTTGGCTTCTCTCGTCATAGCCCTTGTGGCCCTGTAGGGCCAGAGCTGTCCCGCCCAATCCTGCTGCAGCCACGCATACCTCTGCTTCTTGGGCCACACGTCTGTCTGCTCCCAGCCCTGGGACACCATGGAGGAGCTGTAACTCTTGGAGAGGAGTCCCACCAGTGTCAGGGAAGAGAGGTCAACTGACTTCCCACCCAGGGATTAATAAAATGCACATCAGCAAGAAGAAGGACAATCAGAGGTGACATCTGCATGCCCCCTGCAGGGTGCTGCTTCAGGGCTACAATCTCCCTGGGTTTCTCCTTTCCCAGAACTGACAACCAGCTACTTCTACTTGTTTCCCTATTGCCTGAAGAAAGCTTCAAGGCAGAAATATTGTCTGTAATCTCCTTTCTGTCGCTGCCAGCAATTCTTCTGAGCAGAAGGAGGGCGACTCGAATGTCAGAAAGCTGGAGGAGAATGAAAGACAGTCTGGGGTTGACAGCGAGAAGGGAGGTGCCGATGGGTGGTGGGGATCCTTCCTGAGCAGCCCTCCTCTGGGAGCCACTCTGCCTGGCCCTGGAAGAGGGCACCTGATGCACCTTTTTATACCACCGGCAGAGACCTGGCACATTGTGCTCATCACTTGCAAGGTTCTCTCCTCTGATGGCTAACAGGAAGCCTGCAGAGATATTTCCTGATCCTGAGCTGAGTGAGCCCCTCCAACAAGCAAGGCCAGGACACAGAGGCAGAGAAACGACACCCAGAAATTGGGCTGTGTGTGACTTGATGTGACAGTCCAGACGTTTTGGGAACAAGGAAAAAAGCAGGATGGTCAGACTGGAAATAAAGTTCCTTAAGGTCCCCACAGCTTCCCACCGAAATGGAGTGTCTGCACTCCACCTCTTTGGTTCTCAGTGAGTCCCCTCCTGCCTGTACAGGTACATTTTACCTGGGCACCTTCTCACAGGGATGGGCAGGCTTCTGCAGGGAATGCCTTCACCTCTTCTGCCAACTCACCCTAGGACCTTCTGCAGATGAGTAGAAAAGACTCCAGAATTTCTGACCAGAAGCCTGAACCAAAGAGTTTTCCTTCCACTTTGGGGAAATTAATCCACCCTGGATTTATCCCAGGAGCAAAAAGCACCAAGGATCCTGCCCTGGTTGACCTAAGAGCTGGAAAGGGTATATTCTCACTCCGGAGCCCACTCGAGGACTTTTTCCTCTACAAGTGCAGTGATGCAGCATGGTTTGCCTTTAAGCACCCTCCAGCATCCCCCCAAGGCAGGAATCTCTCAGAGCTTTAGCCTCCTCCCACCCCTGCTGGGGCAAGCAAGCTAAGGAGGCCAGCCAGGGGCAGCGCTGGCTGCCACAAGTGTGTTCTGTGACCTTGGAACCTCACCAGTCTGCATTCTGTTCCATCACCACCCTTATCACTGTCACCTGTGAACAAGAAGCCAGCCCGATGGGGTGACATGCTCCCATTCTGTTCTCTGAGGACACTTCATTAGCTACTGAACTCAACTGTTATCCCAGAGAGGGGCTCCCAGGAAGCCAAAACAGCACACAGACTTGTTTTTAGTGTTTCTTTTCTGTGCAGAAGTCTACAATGGCTTGCTGGGGCCATAAAAACAAATTTTTTAGCCTCTGTTCTGGAAGACCCAGTGCTCCCTCTCCTCTCGCCATCCACTTCCTATCCAGTCCCCAAAGGCTGCTGCGACCTTCCTTCTCTGCAAATGGAAGATCTGCCTCTCTCTCTGTCCACTGTATGACTGGGCCTTAATCGTGCTCTTTTCTCAACTTATGCTCTTGGTGTTAACTAAGTCTCCTCGAGGCATCATAAACTTCTGAGGACAACCTGTGTCCATTTCTCTTCCAGTATCCCCTCCATATACACCTGGGTGAATACTGTGCCCATGAAGATCACTGCAAGTACCCTTGTCCGAAGGAGACAAGCCATTGCCAGAAAATATTGAGTCAGATCAATGCTGAATCAGTTCAGTCAAGAGTCTGCCCATGTAGTTATTGCAGTCATTGCCAAGCACATGGCAACTCTCCTCATTTCAATGTGTCCTTGAGTGGAGAGCGTTTGAACTGTGGATTATTTCATATGCTTTCCGTGCTAATCCTGAGTCAGTGTGGGAGAGACTGTGGAAGAGATCAGCCAAACCGGGATTCAAACGCCAGGCCCATCCTCGCCCCAGCGTGTGATCTAATACATCGTACAAGCAACTGTTTTCCTATTTCTGAAAAATGGGAACAGTAATACCTGACGCACAGGGTGTTTCTTCGGATTTTCTATTCTATCACAAACAAAGGTGCTTAGTGGATAGTTAAGGGCTCTGTAGTGACATGGACTCAAGCTTTAATAAATGGTGACTATTGTCATTCGTGATAATGGCAGTAGTGATATTATGCTTAGATCTAGTAAAACCCCAATCCTTCAAGATTCAGCTCTTCAAATTCTTTCTCAAGACCTTTCTTCGCCACACAGGACTGGTCATTCTGTCTTTTCTAGTCACCCGGTAACTCTGACCATTATCTAAAATGAAGTCCAGACTTCATGCCCTATCAGGTAATTATTACCATTTGTTCTTCTGTGTGTCCTGTGAAGCTGTGAGCTTCCAGAGCCAAGGACTGAGTATTCTCCACTTGGCTTCCACTGCTGGATGACCCAGTGGTGTTTCTGAGACGAGGGACTGAATGGACAGGCAGGGTCGCCAAAAGCCGACAAGAGACCGGGCTAGAGTTCGAGCAGATGCAAATTGTTTTCTGTCTGAAGAAACAGACTGGCGGGGCTGGGAATTAACCAGGTAAAGTGATTCTGCCTTTTAACTCAACCAAGACCAGCCCCCACCTTCAAAGAAGCCCTTTACCTTGCCCAGGAGGATTTGCTTCCTTGGGGAAACTTCCAGTCCCATGGGAAGATTCTGACGTTGAAAACTTGCAAAGCCCCGCCTGTAACCACCCCTCCTTATCCCGTTCTTTCTCTCTCTCTCACCCTTCCCTGCCAGCCTTTCCTCAAAGGTCAGGACGCCCCTCACCCCCATTCCCTCTCTTAACTAGGCTGCTGGGTGACCCTGGGTTCTCAGGCAGCCTGCTCCAGAAATGCATCTTAGTACTCGTAACCATTTCTTTTCCTGTCCGTACCTGCACTGAGTGAGCTACAGCACCCTTCTCTCCACATCCACTACCACCCGTAGCTCAGGAGTAGCCTCTGATACCTAGCCCATCCTAGGACAGTTCCAGCACCTGAGTGCTAACTTAACATGTAGCTCACCAAACTGTGGTTGTCAGTGTACAACCTGTGTGCCCCACTAAGCATACAGCCCTAAGCAGAAGCTCAGACCCTTATACCTCTATATGTAATTTGTTTACCAAGTGATCAATGAAGATTTGTTGCATGAAGAGGTAAATAAAAGTGTATGTTCCGAAGATGGACAAAGTATACAGCATACCTTATGCTGATCTCCTTAACAAGGAATAATTCTACCCAATTTAGTATTGAACCCTTGGAATACCTCTCTGAAGTAGATATTATCACTCTCACTTTTATATAGGAGGAACAGGTTAGGAAAGTGAAATGACTTGCTTGGAGTCACAAAGCTAGTCAGGTGACCCAGAGTTTTATTGTGACCTCCTTGCAACAGCTCCGTGGCACCTGCCCACCTGCCCACACGTCCACCTAGCTAGGGAGACGGTGTCAAAAGGCTGAGTCGTTCTGCCTCACTAGGGAAATAAACAAGAAGAATTTTTCTTCTCATCATTTGGTGAGCCAGTGACATTTTGTTTGACAAAGAGTCTAGGAAAAGCCTCTCCTGGGACTAGTTTTGGAACCAAGCTCTGATAATATTGTGTTATTGAAAAGAGATGCTAGGAACTGAGCTCTGATGGCCTTTTATGCGAAGTAATTTATGCAGGAAAGAAGAAATATATACATTTTTAAAGAAACAAATTGATTTACACATAGTCACAAAGACAACGGTAAGTGCAACACACACACACACACACACACACACACACACACTTGCATATGCACACATGAATATGCACATACCCACACACAAAAAGAAAGTTCCAGATCCACAAGGGCACAGGTTCTGGTGTGTGTTCACAGTCATGTTTGCACAGTGAGAAGCCAAAAGATTCCAAGTCAGAGGGATGTGCGGCCCACAGATACGCCCACTTGCAGCACAGTCTGCCTGCCCTGCCTTCCCCTCCCATGCCTTCCAGGGGAATTTGCAATTTTCCCCACACATGTAAATTTCAGTCATTAAGGAACACAGAGGGAGCGTGACATTGAAGAAATTAATCTCTCTGTGCCCCCTGTGTTTCTCAGGGTCCTGCTTCCTCCCTGTGATCCACTTCACGTGGAGATGGTGCCAACCCAATGACCTGCTGCCCGGGGCGCAGCTCCCACTCAGGAAGATTTATCCCCTGCGCCTGGAGGAGGCACAAGCACAACCTGCTCTGAGGAAAGCGGGGGAAGGATAACAAGGATAACAAGGAAATACAATTCTCATTCAGATGCCGCTCAGAAATGGATCTCCGAAACCGAGGGATGGTAAGAGGATTTCCTTCACACACTTCCTTCCCCAGGCGGTTTGTAAAGGGTTGGGATTTGCAAGGGTATTTGAAAGTCAGGAATTCCCTCCTAGCCATGCTGATGTTGGCTTGGACTCAAAGAAGCATCTAGGGTCCCCGTTCCTATGGCCCCTTGAAAATTTAGAGAGGCCAGATTCTGCACTGGGGCTGGAAGCAGCTAGTTTTATCCCAATTCTGAGTGCTCTGGGCCTCAGGTTTGCCATCTGTAAAATGAGAAAGTGGGGACGGGATGGTCACTTCGTCCATCATCTGTATCAGGGGCTACCTTGCTAAGCCTTGGTTAGTAGGGCTTTGCATACCTCTGAATTCGTAAGATGACTTAAAAGGTGTCCAGCCATATCCCTGAGCTCTTTGTTCAAGCTTCATTATAACTATGAGGTTAGTTGTACAAACAGGATAAGCAAAACTGAGTTTTAAATGTCTTGGTTGAGGGTTAAAAAAGGGTTAAAAAAAAATCACTACTGATTCGAGTGATAGCCCTATTTAAAAGCAAACTACCAGCAAAACGCACCTTGAAAATCCTGGAGTTTTTGTGTTGAAAGAATGTTTTTTTCTATTGCCAAGGTCAGATATGTTAAACACTAATTGTAATTTTAAACCTGCTGACTTTTTTCTGGGTTGAGGATGGAGGCCCAGGGCAGCCGGCCCTTTGGTTCAAGGGAAAAAATTGACTTTCTTTACCTTTTTCATTTTTTTTCCCCCCATCGGTACCAGGGATCGAACTCACTCACGACTACACACTTGCAAGGCAGGCACTTATGCCGCTGAGCTAAATCCCCAGCCCTAAAATTGACTTTCTTTTGCTATTAAAAAGAGGGGCCCGGTCTGAAATTAGATGAAAGGGAACCAAACTGTTCCTCACTCATTCAACATGTGTTTACTGAAAGCCTGCTCTGTGCTAGCAACTGTTCAAACTTCTGAATAGGCCTGATACAATCTGCCAGCGTGCCTAAGGCTTGTATTCTGGTTGGTAACAAGATAATAAACAACTTATATAAATAAAATGCATAGAAAAGACATTAAGGGCAAAGGACAAAAGGTAAAGGAAAGGGGTGAAGTGTCAGGAGTTTTTGCTTCAGGGCCAACATTTACAAGGCCCCCAAAACCTCAAGAATGGAAACACAAACAGCCAGTGCCTTCCCAAGCCACACGGGGGCCTGTGACCAAAGATCAGTGATGCTGCCACCTTCATGGATAAATACCCAGAAATATCCCGTGTACCCTCCAGGTATGCACAATTATTATGAGTCAAGCAAAATCTACAACTTCTAAACATTTTGCTGATCATACATTTTTGCTATTAATTTTGATTTTAGAGACTATTGCATTAAAATATTATTTCACTTGGGCCAGGGATTTAGCTCAGTGGCATAAGCCCCTGCCTGGCAAGTGCAAGGTTGTGAGTTCAATCCCCGGTACCGGAAAAAAAAATTATTTCAGTTGATTACTGAGTTTCTGGGAATCCCCATAACCCTTAAATTTTGTGCCTGGGGTAATCGAGTCCTAGCACACCTTGTTCTATGTCTCCAGTAAAGACTGTACACGTGTAGTCGCTGTGCAGTGTGCAGAAGAGGCCACATCCGCACATGGGCAGTCCATGCAGGGGGCAAGGAAGAGGCCCTGCAAGCAAGACAGAGAAAGATGAACAGGACATCTTCTGGGGATGTAACCAGCATCTAAGCACTGCCTTCTCCTGGAATGTGGGGAAGCCATGGGCTTTCTGCCGTGAAGGAGGGAAACCTAAGTCAATCTATTGGGGTGTTCAGTGTGAAGGTGACCACTCACTTTTAAGTGGTTAGGGACTGGGAGAGGGATGGCAGATGGCTACTGCAAAGAAGTACCCTGAAAAAAATCAAGCTATGAAAGTACCAGCGGCTATGGAGAGCTCTGGGGTCTGAAGGATTAAACCTTCATAAACATCTGGTGGGGTGGGGTGGGGAAGCATCAGTTGCTTTCACTCCATGGGAAAATCCAAGAACAGCTCCTTGCTCCTGTGTCTGCCTCAAAGAAGGTGAGGCCCCTCAGCATCTCAAGAATGGCAGGCATTAATGTAGAATGAAAAAGAAGATTCTGGAAGGATGAATACTGGCTCGCTGACTTGCCACCAAGGGAAGGCCCAGGCCCCAGGCCAGGTCTCTGCCCTTACTGTGGATCCCTGCCTTTCTCCAGCACCCTCCAAATCCCAATGGTAAATCCTAGACCCCCCCATTTGATCCATCTCTATGCTCAAAAGTCTTACTATTTTTTAAAAATAAGATACATCTTTGGCACTTTGTAGTTGAGCTATGATATGATTCCTACAGAACTTTTCAGGGTTTTTGTTTATGACTCTGTTTGAGTCCCTAGCGGGTAAGGACTGGCAGGTCACACTGCTGCGGTCTGAGTGTGCCCCTCCTGAACTTGCAGTGATAAACTTCTGAAGGTTCTGCCCTTACGAAAGGCTAAAGGGAGCTTCCTGGCTCTTTCACCATGTGAGGAAATGCCATCTACGAGGAATAAGCCCTGATTAGACATTGAATTTGCTCATGTTTTTCTCCAGTCTCCAAAACTGTGAGAAATACATTCCTGTTATTTAAAAGCCACAAAGTCTAAGTTAGTTTGTTATATGAGCCCAAATGGACAAATGTATATACTCGTGAACCAATCTGAGGTTGTCTGCTCTTATAAATAAAGTTTTATTAGCACACAGTCACACCCCCTTATTGATTAAGGTCTGACCACTTTCCATTAAGTGGCATGGTAGAGTACAGTAGTTTGATAGTAGCAGAGCTGAATATTTGTAGCATGAAACCTGAAATATTTGCTGTCTGAACCTGTACAGAAAGTTTGCTGACCCTAGTCAAGGTCATGTTCAACTGCACTCTGCCCTCTACACGGCACCTGGTCCTTTCAGGCCCTTGCTTGTTCCTAGGCTGGGCTGACCTCACCCCACATTCTCAGAGCTGATATGCAACTCATTCCTCAAGGACTCAGCTCATTACTCATTTTGTGCATTTCTGAATGCCTACACAGAATCCCTCTGACCTCCACATGGCCAATTACATTTACGCTTAGGGTAACCACCTAAATTATCACTCATAGGGGAAAAACTGTGAGAGTGATGGAGAGGTGATTCCCAATTCCACAGCAACTCCAGGCTTCTCCTGAGACCACTCCTGGTCCAGCAGGTCCTATAGTGCCGCTAGCTCTGGGGTCTGTTTCCTTTCGCCTTCTCATGGTGGAACGTATCTCCTGCTTCCCCTAGCAGGCAGCATGCTGAAGGACCAGGACAGTGTGGGGAGTTTTTAATTGTCCAAGTGTCCTTGTGCAGAAAATAAGATCAGTTAATATTTGTTGAAAGAAAAGAAGGCAGGGCTCTGCCCCAAGCACCATCTTTAAGTGCAGCCAGCTAGAACAACAAAGCATGGGGGAGCCAGCAGGTGGAAGGACAGGAGGGATGTGCAGCCATGGAGGTTGCATGGTTGTGTTTTTGTCATTGTGCTTATGGTCCACAGGCCACTGTGTGCCTGGGACATCTGGGGTAACCCAACCTTTCTAGTTTCCTGCAGTCTAACCCTGCTCTCAGCAATTTGCCCTTCTGACATCTGCTCAATGAGGCCGGGCCACTTGTCCTGTTCTGCAGGATCCTCTGTGCATCCAAATGCCAGCTTGGAGTGGCCAAGGTGGTCAACGACAACCCAAATCCCTGCTGTATTAGTTAGGAAAGGAAGGGAGCTGACTCACGGATCACAGCCTGCTTCTGTGCATTTTTAGCTGAGGCTGAATATGATGGCCAGAATTTAGATATGCATCTTCCTTTTTATAAGACTCCAGCACATTCTATAGACTTCTGTTCACTAAAGCGGAGACAGGAAGCAGCAAGGGACAAATGACCCATTTAACATTCTCGGAATGCCCCATCTGCTCTCCCTTGAGCAGCCACATTTGAAGTGCAAATCTCATCCTGCTATACCCTCTACCTCCCACGTCTCCAATTTGTCACTAGTTTCCCATTCGACCAGCACCCATCCGTACAATGGTCACAACCTTTCCAGCTTCTGGTTCACTCTTTGCTTTCCAGAAACCAAGATGTTGCTTCTTCCTACCACAGGGCATTTACATAAGCTACCAGAGCTCCCTGGCAGATACTCTTCTTCATCTACTTTCAACTGTGTGTTTTCATGTCTTGACTCAAGGCTTCCTCCGGGAGCTATGCCAAACTCTCCTACCTTATAAGGCTTCTTACTCTGTGGACCTCTGACGTCTTACTGTGTGGAATGAAATGATTAGAAATAAAATCTAGGCGTTAAATTCCCCTTTCTTCTCACCCTGCACTTGCAGGTTTTTATCATTCTTGCAAAGATGCCTTTAGAGACCTAAGACGGGCAAGGCCACATGACAGAGGTGACACAGGCCCATGCCCAGACCCGGTTCAGGATAGGAAGTAAACATGAACAGGCCTGTACTAGGGCAGAAAGACAATTAAGAAAGAGGCCCAAGCCAGCACCAACCAGCTGGCAGCCAGCGATTTGCAGCGGGTCTTGAATCTTCTAAGCAGCCTTCCTATACTGGGCTCAGGGGGAACCCAAAGGAGCCCGTTCACACCTGAGCTTCTCTCTCCTTCCCTTCCTGCAACAGTTTGAACATTCCCCTTCAAAATTCATGTTGAAATTAAATTGCCACCGTAGCAGTATGAAGAGGAGAGGCCTTCGAGAGGCGATTAGTCCAGGAGTGCTCTGCTCTCAGGAGTTCACTAGTGCTGTCTGTCATCATGGGAGTGGGTTTGTTATGAGAGTGGGTTCCTGATTTACAAAAAAAGAGAGAGATCAACTGGTTTTCTCTGTCCTGAGCATATTCCTTCGTCCTCTGCCATGCAATGACAAAGCAGGAAGCTTTACCAGACGTAAAGACATTGCTGTCTTTTGGGTTTCCCAGTCTCTAGAACTGTGAACCAAATAAACTTCCACCTTTACAAAGTATCCAGCCTGTGGTGTTGTATTATAGCAACAGAAAATGGACTAGGATTCTTCTTCCATCCCCCCTCCCCTCCCCTCATTTGCTGTTGCATCAGTGTTCTATGAATGGCCAGCTTGTCCCATTACAAGGCCATTTCCCCGAGCTGTGGGGCTGCACCTTCCGTGTCTTTGAGCTCCCACAGCCAGAATGCCAGGTCAGCACTCAATCAAGACTGAGGCTGCCTGCTCTTACACAGGTAGAGGGTAGGCCACTTAGGTGCACCTGCCTGGCGTGCAGAGCCAGAGGAGAGCTTTAGGTTCCTGAATTAGGGTACAGCAGGGAGGCCACCTGGGGCAGTGCAGCTCCAGGTGTGCAGAGGGTCAGTTCTTCGGAGAACAGAGAGCAGCCTTCCACACGCAGCCCACTGGTGGGCTGAAGCTGCTGCCCGAAAGCCTGGAGCAGATCGGCCCCCATGTGAAGCCTGGAGCAGGTCACCTCTCACTTTCAGGTCTGCAGGAAGACAGACCTTTGCCTGGTGTTTAGTCAACCTGCCCCATGCAAGCCCAGGCACAGCTGGCAGCTACACCCCTGGGTGGGGCTGAACAGAGAGACCCCTGCAAGCTCTGACCAGAGAAAAAGCACAACAGCTGTCCCTGTGTTGGCGCTAAGCCCACTCTCTGTGAGGAGGTCTCTCTGCACTGGACCAATAAATAATAGAAAGTCCAAGGCCCGAGGTAGTGTACTCATGCTGCTGAGCCTCGGGCAGGATGGCAGAGCAGCCTGCCAGGTCAGGAGCACAGGGATTAATAACACATCAATTTTAATGCGGGGAGAGGGGTTTTTTTCCTGCTTCACAAACAGCAAAGTGAATGTTTGAGCATCCTGGCAGGGGGTTAATGAGGACTCTGATTAGTTATTCGGATTTCTCCCCACTGCCTCAATCCATCCTCCTAGAGAGGAGAACAGGAAGGAGGTGTGTGTGTGTGAGGGGGGGGGCACCACACAGAGTGAGAAGAGGGTCCTCCCACCCCTGAGCAGGTTCCAGCCTGAGGAAACTGCAACTACCCCACCCCAGCCCACCCCGTAAACACTGTGGCAGAAAGGAGCTGAGAAAGGCTGGGGCTGGCGTGGCCCAGCCTCTGGTTTGGGAGACCAGGGGTGCGATTTATTAGCTATATAAAGGGCAGTGAGAGCTAGGGTTGTCCTTGGGGCAGGGGACCAGAGGCATCCTCATGGGAAGTCTCTGCCTTTTGGACCAGGTGATTTACTTGGGGCAGAGCAGGGCAAGAATGGGGAAGTGATGGGGAGGGCAATGGCTTGTGTGACGGCCCCTGAGAAGGGGCCTCCCCAGCAGTACCCCCAGATCTGGAGCAGCACTGCCTCCCTGGTCCCCATCTCTGAGGCAGCTCCACTGGCGGGGCCTCCTACATCCTCCTCTCCTCCAGATGGTGATGGATCCTCTTATCTGAAGTGACACGGAGGGCACGAGAGGGCACTGGAGAAGCAGCTTTTCCGTTCTCAGGGAGCGAAGTCACCAAGCCACCTGGACACCCGCTCTGCATCTTCCCCACGTCACGACACAAGTGGACTTCTGAGCGCAAACTCCCCAAACCCCTGCCCACCCCAGTTCCTAGCCCATCTGCTGCAGTGCAGAGCTGGATCCAAACCTGCCATGGTGACATCATGAACCAGTGACACAATGGCAAAGACATCACACTGCAGGGGCTCCAAGATCATCTCAGCGTCACTGAGTACTCAGGATGCATCCCTCTGGAGGTTCCTGAGATCTGCCCAGCTTCCAACCCCATGTTCTCAGACTGCATGCTGAGGCCCCTCTATCACCCCTCCCTGAGCTTAGGGTCGGCATCCTCTTCCCACCCATGGCCTTGAGTCCTCTTGGAGATTTACAAACTGTGCTGCATGCCAGAGTCTCAACTATTCTCCTTCATTCAGAATGACATAGCCATTGCCTGCCAAGGGGTTGAAGTGTGCTGGCCACCATGCCTGGGGCTCCACACACCCAGACCCCAGGGCCTGCACCTGGCCTCTGAGGCAGTACCAACACACATCTCCCCAGCACTGTGGCCTGGTGCTGTCCTACAGAACATTCTGCATCAATGGAAATGTCCTATCAGTACCTGCTACGGAGCCCTTGGATTGTACCTAGTGTGACTGAATTTTTCATTTTATTTAATTTGTTATTTATGTACATTGCTTGATAGTGGTCCTGTACCAGACAGCACAGGTCTGGAGGGCCCTACAGGCAATGTAGCAATACCACACTGTTAGCAAAGAGCCCCGCCTAGAGCCAAATCGGGTTTGTCTCCTTGAGGGCAGGCAGGCTTTACTATGGTGTGGGGCTTCCAGGCATCATCATCAAGCATGAGCAGAAACGAAGGTAAGGTCACCAGACACAGTCAGCGTGTCTGTGAGGCTCCTGTGGTGCCATCCAGCACCAGGTCTGGGAGGATGGAGGGAACGCTGAGGGAAACAGTGATGCCTAAGGCCCCGCCTCTGTCCTCCAGCTGCTTCCAATTCAGGTGGAAGAAGAAATAAATTCAACCAGGGCAGAGGCATTCAGGTGCAAAACCGAGTGGTGTAGGATGCCAGCCGGATTTCCCACAGCACCCACCCCCAACTCAACCCTGCCCGGCTATGAGGTTCATTCTGTCCATTGCGCCCCCTCTTCCTGGGGTTGGCTTCTCCTACGTTTCTCTCTTGGCAAATGGGGACTCCCACCCATGCCCTCCCACAACCCTGAGCACACTTCCGCGATGCCACCTACCTAGAGAATTGTAATTACAGTGTGTGTGTGTGTATGTGTGTGTGTGTGTGTGTGTGTCTCCTACAATGACACCCGTGGAGGTCAGATGGTGGCTTTGTCTTCCTTGTGCTCAGTGCACCTGAGTGTGTGTGCCCCACCATAGGAGGCAGGGAGGGAGCAAGTCTGTCTGCACTGCATTTGTTCATGCAGGCCAGCCACCTGCTGCCCTCTGCTCCCGGCCCCATGACCTTTCTCCACATGGAGTGTCCTGTAGGGAAAGACCCCCAGAACATTCCCAATTCACCTCACAGCCTGCTCTCCTGAGGCACGGCAGGGGGGCTCCTCACAGAGCCTGGTGCCCCAGTGAGCTCTGGCGGTGTCTGAGGCAGACTCAGCAGCAGCCTGCTTCAGCCTCTCTCCAGATGGCTATGGCTCTGTCACCTACAGATCGCCCTCTCCCCAGGCCTTGGGGTCCCAGTCCTGACCCACCAGACACATCATTAACTGGGACTGCCAGGGACTGCTCATTGCAAACCTCAGTTCCACCGCAAGGCAGTTACCGTGGTGCCTGAATCCAGGAGCCAGACTCTGTTACCATCATCTTTATCTCCATATGCGCTTCCTGATTTACAAAGCCAGCTCCCCACACATTCTCATTCAATCCACACCACTCCCTTATGAAAGCTAGGTACAATTCCCATTTTACAGACCATCAATAGAGGAGCAGAGAAATTAAGAAACTCATCCGATCTAAAATGGTTGAGCCTAGATTCACACTCAGATTCAGAATTTTTATTACAAACTCAGTGCTCAATACACTGGGATTATCAATATTTTTTAATTTAAAAAGGATTACAGAGAAAGAATGGGTTTGGAGGAGGTACCAATGAGTCTATTCGAGGATGCACTGTATTCAAAGTTTTGATGCACACTGCATAGGGAAAGCTAGAAAGGGGTGCCCAAGGCTATCCTGCACCCCCAGTCTACCATGTATCCCTCCCACACATGTTGTTCCCTAATACAATCTTATTTTTTAGTCATGTGCCCTTTACAGGGACTTTACAGACTTCCTTACACCACTGACTTCTGTTAGCACACCCAGACCCTGGGGCCGCTCCAAATGCTGCTTCCTTCATGAATCTTCCCTGGATCTTCCCTAGGAGCCCTGGCCTCTTCTCCTTTTGGGTTCTCCCAGCACTTTGTATATTCCGTATCCTAATTCATTCCTTGCTATCTATGCCTAAGGACTGCCTCCTCCATGGGGTCTAAGGCAGGGATGGTTCTGGTTCACTTTGGTGTCACCCATAGTATTCAGCACCAAGCCTTGGGCATAAGAAATAATTAAACACGTGGTTGAGTTGAGCCAGGTGTGCTTGCACATGCCTGCAATCCTGCCACTCTGGGAGGCCGAGGCAGAAACATTGCAAGTTTGAGATCTGCCTGGGCAGTTTAGCAACTTAGTAAGATTCTGGGGATACAGCTCAGGGCCAAGGCTCTGGGTTCAATTCCCAGGTCCAGAAAAACAAAAAGAACAACTCCCCCACCCCCCAAAAAACAGTTGTGTTGAATTGTGTTTCTAAGGAGAGCTATAAGTTTTAACCCCTATCTTCCAATGGGAAATGGGAAATGTAGCGGGCATCAGAGCTTTGTCTGAATCTTCACTTCCAAACCTGAGCTGTGTAACGAGCCAGAGCACACGTACAAAAGCTAGAAAGAGGGCTTATGAATGAGAAGTAATACAAAAGAGGAGCTGAAACCTGTTGGAAGCGTTGCAGGAAAGCCGAGCACAGAAGGAGCAGGAGTCTGAGAATACCTCTCGCTCCACACCCACACACATTCCCTTTCTCCTCTGTTACAAAGCAATACATGAAGCAAGATGGAAAGAAAAAAATAATAAGGAACTGAGGCAGCTATCGCCTGCGGCCGACAGGAGGTTTCCTGATGACAGAAGGAAAGAGAATGATTTAACTCCCACTCTGCTTTGTGTATTTTAGGGATGATGCTCAGGAATCCAGAAAGATGATTTTGAAAGAGACCGGTGAGGGAATGGTAAACTCCAGGCTGAGGATCCCCGCAAACTGCATCTCAGAGAGCGCAACAGACTTAAAGGTAGGACTCTGGAACCACTGTTGGCTATTTGTGAACCCAGGGAAACAAATAGTGCTCAGAAACAGAAATAGGCAATATCTGACTGCTTCCATAACATGGCAAATACAAGATTCTGGAAGCTACCAGACAGTGCTTCACATTACCTGCCAACAAAAAATTCTAAATGAATTTGTTTACAGAATGAAGAAAGAATGATCTAAACCCAGAATGGCTTCATTGAGAAACAGTCCTGTCAAACTTTTTATCACTCTTAAAAACAAAACAACTTCTAGATTGGTAGACCAAAAAAATACTGAGGGGTAGCGTGACTTCAGCAAGACATATGTTAAAAATCTTCCGTGACATTGGAATAAGATGGGATAAGAGATAGAGATCTCCTAGCTAGAAGAGTGATCGTTCTCATTCGATACTCAAGTGCAGATTTCAGTCTGGAAGGAAGTTTTTGTGTTCAAGTAGCTGGCTCTATATCACCGAACAATTTTTAACAAAGACCTGCATAAAGTGTAGAAGGTACACTTTTCACTCCCCACACTGGAGAGGACAGTCCTGAAAAGGACTGAGAAGGAGCTTGTGAGGCGGGAATGACAGGCGAGAAGCAAGGAGAGAGCCGATGTTGAACAGAGATAAATATACATGTATCCATTAGAGCAAAGTGCAAAGTGTACGGTGAAGGAGACAGAACTTACACGCATTTCAGATGGGGAAAAATGAAGGGAAATTTGACTGACAATGTAACAGGCATCAGTAGAACACTGGTTTAGATTTCTTGCCAAAAGAAAAAAAAAAGGAAAAAGTAAGAAAGAGACAAAAAGGATAACAGTGACCTTAAGCTACATGGTACAAGGCCTGTTCCAGTGAAGCGGGCTGTGGTTCAGATCACACTACAGAAACTTTTTTTAAAAATTATTGATTGTTCAAGATGGGATATAAATACTCAGTTCTTTAAAATTTATTTTAACTGATACATAAAAATTGGACATATGTGTTGAATCTGACATGATGCTTAGTTACATATATATCTACTGTAATGTTTAAATCAGATTAAAGATATCTATTTCCAAGCTGGGCATGGTGGCACATGCCTGTAATTCCAGAACTCAAGTGGCTAAGGCAGGAGGATTGTTGCAAGTTCAAGACCAGCCTGGGCTACAAAGTGAGCTCAGGGCCAGCCGGAACTGCACAGGGAGACCCTGTCTCAAAAAGACCCCCCCAAAAAAGATATCTATTTACACACACACACACACACACACACACACACACACACACTTTCCCTGGAGCTAGGGATTGAACCCAGGGCCTCATGCATGCTAAATAAGAGCTTTGCCATCATGTCCCACATCCAGCTCTTTCTGTGACTTTATTTTGAGGCAAGGTTTTGCTGTTTTTCAGGCTCAGATTTGTGATTCTCTTGCCTTCCTCTCCTAAGCGGCTGGGATTACAGGCATGTGCCACTTTACCCAGCCACATACCATTTCTTTACAGTGGAAACAGTAACAGTTCTTTCTTCTGGCTTTTTGAAATATACAGTATGTTACTGTCTAGCGCAGCAGAGCATCTTACTCCTAACTATGACTTAGTACCCAGCGACCACCTCTGCGCACCCCCCCCCCCGCCTCCGGAGGAAAGTGTTTACTTCAGAAGAGGATGCTGAGGGCTCGCAGTGCATCTGCAGAGGAAGGCTGGGATGCTGGGGAAGGGAACGCACCTGCAGAGCAGGAGGCCAGGGAAGGGCATGACTGTCATCTTTAACACTTAACTATCGTGCAGAGGAAGGCTGGGTTTATTTCGTGCTGCCCAGAGAGCAGATCTAGGAGGGAGGGATGGGCATGACAAAGACCCAGAGGTCCCCTTCATAGGAGGAAGTTTTACCAGTAAGAGCCGCCTACAGATGAAAAGCTGCTTTTCCCAGGAACCCTTAGGTAAAGAAAGAGAGTGTGCAGGTGGAGATGCCTTCCCAGATTGACAGGTTAAACCAGTTGACCTCCAAGGCCCCTTCCAGCTCCCTAATGTTATGAGACCCCTGAGTGAGGAGGATGTTTCTGATGTGGACAAAGCCTCCCCAGAGTCCCTGGAATACATTGCAGAGGTCGCCATCTCCTTGGCCAATATCATAAATCTCTTTCTGCGTTCTGGGGAACTGCTCTGGGGAGAAATCATGGTGGCCATGACATGTGGCATTTGGAAAAGAGCCAACGTTTTCCCTCTTGCTTTTCACAGAGATTTTTCTCCCTCCCAGGATTTCTGGAATAATGTGGCTCCATGCAATCTTCCCCCGTGTCCAGCCCAAGCAAAAGCAGAGCTGACCCTCATGGTCCCTGGCATGATCCACAAGGAAGGAGGTGCCAGCAGCAGTAACGGGGTGCACTCTGAAGGGGTCCTCAAAATCCACAGGCATGCAGTGTTGGCTCAGAGGAATTCTGCTTGTAGTCTTCTCTGTCTTTGCCCAAACTGCCCCTCTGTGGTTACATTTCTGGGTCTCAGTAATCCCCCTGGGCTTCACCCTTTATGATTACATTTTTGTCTCCAAGTTGAAGCCGTCCCCAGCAGCACTCACTGTGTTTCCCTTGAGCTATGGAGAACTGGGTTCCTATCTCATGTCATTCCTTCTCTGAGAAGCAAGCTCCTGGAGGTAAAAGGGTTTGTTTGTTGTTATTATTAGACATGCATATGAGTGGCAAGGCAACCGTGATTCGTCGGAGTTCTAGCCCTGGCTTGGACACCAACTTCTTTTGGTCTTTTGTTCCTCGAGAATAAAATGCGGAGGGTGGGGATATAACTCAGCAGCAAAGCACCTGCCTGGTAACCACAATCCCAGGTACCAAAAGAAGACGAGGAAGAGGAAGAGGAAGAGAAGGAAGCAGAAGCAGAAGCAGAAGCAGAAACAGAAGCAGAAGCAAGAGAAGGAGAAGGAGAAGGAGAAGAAGCAGAAGAAGAAGAAGAAAAAGAAGCAGAAGCAGAAGCAGAAGCAGAAGCCAGCAAGCAAATAAGCAAGCAAGAAAGAAATAGAATAAACTGAATACAGCGCAGAACCCTCAGTTCCATTCAGGCTCCCCATCTTATGATTTTGAAAGTGTTGTGGGGTATTTATTTCTATCCTGTTTGTCTTACTATCTGCTTATATTTCAGATGTTTTTCTGTTGTCACTCAACTATCCATCCATCCAACCATCCATTCATCCATCCACACCTCCCTCCCTTCTCTCCCTCCTCCTATGGGTGAACTGGCAGCAGAGCGGCAGAGAGGCCTAATCTCATGGCCCCCAGAGAACCAGTGGCCAAGCCCAGACTGAGCCCCCACCTCCTCCCGTGCACGCTGGGGTCTCTGAGGTCCACCGCCTGCATCCTCAAGCTGCTCGCCTCTCCCCACCCCCACTGCAGCAGCACACTCGGCAAGTCATTTATTCCTCCATAACATTTGCTCGAAGGAACGTTACCGCTGAATTATAGCCGGCACCATTATCTCACAATAACTGTCTGGGAAATGTTAATGTTAATGCATGGATCATGCAGAATGCCACATTAGGGGTTTTATGGTGGACATAACATTTTTATGAACTTTTTCTGTGGTAGCACCAGGCTTTGATGGAAAGAACAGGAAAAAAGAAAGAAAGTATGGGGAGGAAGAAAGAAAATCCAGCACAGGGGAAGCGGCCTGGGAGCAGAAGTGGCATTTGATGGCCCCGAAGGCTGAGTCACGGAGCAGTAGCTCCCTGGGGGCAGGCCCGCCCGGCAGCGGGCCAGAGAGTTGAATATCTTTAGCATTAGCTATTTGTGAGTTGGGGAGCAACTGGCCAAATTGGCAACCGGTGGGAGACAGGGTCTGCAGGGGCAGACCCATAAAACTTTTCAGCCTCTGCAGCCACCTGTCACTGGGCCAGCACTTGGTGCCAGTGGGGTCTGACAGGGAGGAGGAAAGGGGTGTGAGAGGCTTGGTCGGGTGGCAGCCACACCTGTGGGTGAGAGGAGAGGCCCTGGCAGAGCTGCAGAGGGGCTCACCTTGGGAACCGATGGCTAATGGCTTAAGGAGATTTTAATTTCTGCCATTAAAGCAAAAAAAGGAAAAACACAATCTCGGGAATGGCAGGATTTTACACCTGGCTTTTAAATAGGACCAATAAAGGCAGTGTTTAGCATTTTATATCCTTGCTCAAAAATAACGATCTTTGGTTCTCATCTCAGACATATTTTAAGGGAGCCTGTGTCTCCTGCTTCCAGAATACTCTCAGAAGGCTGGATTTATAGCTCTGTTCTTTACCTGCCTTGGGCTCAGATTTAAGTCTCATAACCACCTCATTTCGGTCATCTTGTCCCTTCTCTCCCCTTCCCCTCCCACTCTGGTGGCTGCCCCTAGTGCTGTGACTGTCATTTTTCTTCTAGACAGGAAGTTGCTTAGCTCCTGCCCCTGCAAGACCCTAGTTATGGACGTTGCTTTGAGCCCCGTAAGATGTGGGTCAGGAGTGGGTGGCAGGCCCGGAGGGGTAGAGGTATGTGTGCAAGGTCGGTCTCAGAAGCCAAGAAGGATACAAGGAGTCCGCAGGAGACCAGTCCTTTTGAGAACCCTTCTGTGGGTTTGTGGAGAAGACCTAAGCCAGTGAGCACGGTTTGACGGACAGACCTTTGGGTTCAAGTCTCACCTCCAGGCTGTGTGACCTCACACAGACCATTAGGCTTCCAGTACAAGGGTAAGGCCAGCATGGAGATCTCTGAGAGCTACTTTTGCTCCAGGAGTCTCTGAGTTGACAGCCATCAGAGCATCTGGAGTCCTCAACTAGAGCTTATCAGGGTGGACATTTGTTCATCTTACAGGCAAGATGACTGCCCCGGGCATTGGGCCAGATGAGTTTAAATCCAGACTCTACCACAGAGAACTTGAGCAGGCTTTTTAGACACTCTTAGTTTCCATATCCTTGAATTAAAAAAGGAAATAAAAATGTACCACCTCAAATCAAAATATCCAAATGAGAAAAATTCCCAAAATGCTGAACGCCCACACGATTCCACAAGTGAATGGTTACACTGTTAGGTTCACAGATGTGCCACATTGGAGTGAAAACTCCAGGCAGGCAGAGATCTCAGTTCGTTTTCTTCATGGATAGACTAAGGCCTGGGACAGCACTTGGCACACATTAGACTTTCTGTTAATATTTAGTGAATGAACAAATGCCCAAGAGCACCTAAGAAGGTATTAGTTCCCCAGTTGCCGCCCTAATCTTGGTTGATCCCTAAGTATTCACCCTGAAGCTTTCCATGGAAAGACATTGTCTAGGGATACAGGACTTTTCAAGTCCCTTAATATAAAATGCTGATTTAGGGCACATTCAGTGCATTCATGGTCTGACGCATAAGGAGTTGGCGCCAGCCCTCATCTCTGTTCCCTCCAGGACTAAAAGCAGGTGTACCTGGTCCAGACAGCAGGCTCTGAGCCCTGTCTTCAAACATCCCCTCGCGTGCCTCCCAGCCTGCTCCCCTCCTCCTTGGGCTGCCACACGCTGGCTCCTGGGGACCCTTGCCATATGTTCCATTCCAGCTCTAAACTGCATGCTAATTGTTCTGAAGAACAGCTCCAGCTGGAAAAGCAGGCAGGCCGTTTACAGACCTTAAGATAACACCCAGCTTCCCGTAAGCCAGGGGGTTTCCAAGAAAGGGGAATGGAAAGTCTTCCTTTCAGGGCCAGAGCTTGGTGAGATGGGGCCCGGGGGTTGGGGCTGCCATCCAGAGAATCGGCTCTGCCTGGTCACCCAACTGAACCCATTTCAAAGCGGCCCTACCCGAACAGTCTTCTCTGGGGAGATCCTGGGGTGTTCCTTGGATCCAGCTGGCTGCTCCCTGAATGTGATCCAGCTGGCTGCTCCCTGAAGGCTCCCTGAGTTGTGGAGGGTGCTTTCCAACCAAGTCCCTGGCTGCTCCCAGATCCCTGCCACATCCCTGTATCCACAAAGAAACCCTTTAGTATCAGCCTCTACTGTGGCCCATCACTGCCTCTCTGCTCTGATGGGTCACACAGCTATCTAGGGTAGTGAGGAAAGGAGTGATGGGGGGGGGGCTTCCATAGCAGACAGGAGGACATCAGCATCCCTCTGTCTGCCCTGCCTGTGAGGCACAGCCCAATAGCTTGTCTTTCCCACTAGGTAGCGTGTCCTGTAGTGGGTTAGGCTTAGGCTTAGGCTTAGGCTTAGGCTTAGGCTTAGGCTTAGGCTTAGGGTTAGAGGTCCCTTTCCTGATGCCTGGCTCTCCACATAGGCCCATTTCCTTCCCCAGTTTTACTATGCCATACACAGTTTTTTCCTTCATTTCTGCCCACATTGAAGTAGCAGCTTCCTGATGAAGAAGGCATACGAGATGGAGTTGTGGGGTCAGGCATGCTGAGTTGGAAAGAATCTTCAGGGCCATGATTCCTGCGGGAAGAAGCTGGGCAGAGCTCTAGGGCTTCCTGCCCACATTCCCACCTTAGTGCTGGCTGTAGTCAGTGAGGGCTCACCTTCACCCACATCCCTTTTCCAGCCCTGGGACCTGTCTGGGGCTGTGATGGGGGTGCCAGAACTGTGACCAGAAGTTTGGAGTCTGGACTCCCAGAGTTAGCTGTGTGACCCTAGGACAGTCTACGGCCATACCACCCTGAACGCGCCCGATCTCATCTGATCTCGGAAGCTAAGCAGGGTCGGGCCTGGTTAGTACTTGGAAGGGAGACCCTAGGACATCACTCAATCTGTACCCCCATCCGCTCCTCTGCAAACACAAGTGTGGTGCAAAGCTTGCTTTGCAGCCCCATTAGTGCATCTAGAGGAGGCTAAGAAACATAAATGTGAAAAGCCTAGGAAAACTGCAAAGCACAGTTCAAAAAGTAAGCAGTTTAGGTTAACAGTTATTTCCAGGGCTTGAGTCCCTCTTAGCCAGCAGGCGTTAAGGTGCTAGAAAATTCTGAGACAACTGTCTGTTTGACAGGGAGTTTCCCACCTGGCTTGCAGCACCCAGGCTGCGGGTGGTAAGAAGAGCTGCAGGAGGAGCTCTGGTATCTATCTGTGGCATGGCATCATCTCCAGGTCTGCCTCTGGGGATCTGGGGCTAAGGCAAGGGGAGTGGCTAGAAGAACGGACTCATGTTGAGATGCTGCCTGTGTGGAGGGTGAGCTGGGCGCAGGAGCGGGCAGTTCAGATTGCAGTTGCGTTGTGGATTCTGCATTCCCCAGGGTTTGCACAACTCAGATATTCCCCACTTTATCTCTGACTTCCTAGCCCCCCCTGGGAAGAGAGGTAGAGAGGGTGTGGGGGAGTGGGTAGAGAGCCTCCTTTCTGGGGAGTGGCCAGCCAGAAGAGGAAAACCTGTGTAGGCTCTTGGCCATTTGCCTAGAGGGCTCAGGCTGGAGTCAGAGCTTGCATTTCATCTACTTCCTTATCAGACATGAAGATGAGCCTAAGATTGACAGCTCCTCCCAATGAAGTAGAGTTGGAGATGACCTTGATTTAAACACCCAGCATGCTCCAAAGGGCCTAACTTCATCCCCTTGGGCCCATGGCCTGCCCAGTGCAGGGAGTGGCCAACAGCTCCTATCATCCAGCCTCTCTCTAGCTAAGGGAGGTGATAGGAGAGGGAGCCACAGGCTGGCTTTGTCCCTGGAGGCCTGAGGCCTCCATACAGTACATCCAGCCTGTGGAAGGTGGCAAGGGGACAGAGGTCAGCAGGAACATCACACTCACACCCCTAGCAGCATCAGAGGACAGGGGGGAAGCAAGTCTCGGATCAGACACGCCTTGGATAGTTAGGATGGCCAAGGGCTAGGGCAGCTCAGGGCAACAGAGGTGACTCAAGTTGTCTTCATCTCCCCAGGCCCAACTTCTAGGTCTGAAAGGTGGCCTTTCGGTTTGTGCCATCCATGCAGTTCTGTTTGCTGCCGGGCTTTCACTCCCCTCTCAGCCAGTAGAACATCTGCCTGTTTCCCTAAGGTTCAGCACTTTCGCTATGAGGTCTCCCCGATCTCCCGCAGGTAGTGGAGCCACCCCAGCTCTAGATCCTCCAGACAGGCAGAAGAGTTGTATCTAGAAAGCCAGGATCGCTCTCAGCTCCCTGGCAGATGAGCATCAGGCCCCAAGGGCCTCGTGTCGAGGAGCTCTCTAGCACATGCCGCCAAACATGCTGGAACCTGCACACAGTAGGGGCTGGGCAAATGGCGGCCAAATGACTTAGTTGACGCAAATAAATAATTGCATGCTTTTCTTGGCTTAAATGCCATCTGTGAATGCAACACTCAGCAAGAGAGAGCTGGTAAGACGGCCAGGCCTCCTGAAGCTTGCCCTGGGAAATGGCTGTCTTCCTCCCCACGGCCTCTCACTGCCCACTTGGTGCCCAAGCCCAAGCCCGAGTCCACCAAACCCAAACTGTTTTTTTATTATTATTATTAACGATGAGACAATAGATGATCTTTTGACATTTTCATGGCTGTTTGGAAAAAGGAAAGATAATATGTAATAAATTCATATACTTCTGTGTGTTTCTTGGCTCTGGCAGCTAAAATTTCCATCTCTTTATGCAGAAGTCCTGGAGAGCTGAAATCCTTGATAATGCCAAACAATTCAACACTTTATTCTCTCTTTACTCTGTCTGCACCACAGAAAAATATTGACTTGATGCTGCCAGCTGTGGAAATGAGCTCAGATGCCACATTCTTCCTGACACGCAGGAGAAGTCTGCGGCTGTCCTGCCTGGGCGGCTCTGTCTGAGGCTAAGAGTTTGGGACCCTACTGCAGATTTATATAAGACAAAGGACAGTCTGCCCCCTCCCCCGAAGGAGCTTACACAAGAGACACTTTCACTCTGCCTTTTTCCCAGACTGCCTCAGTAGCGATTGGCGGCCTCTGATCTGAGCTGCATGCATGCTTCGGAGCCCAAGCCAGCCCAAGGCCCTGGAGGTTAGCAGAGGCCTCAGTGCCTTTCAGCTCAGCCTTTCAACTCAGGCAGCACATCTCAGCCTGGGGCATAGTACCAGCACCTTCAATTCCTGGAAGGCAGGACAGCAACAGAGGCCAAGGCTTGCCCTGGGCCACACACTGCAGTCTCGCAAGTGCTTGAAACCCTTCTTCCAGTCACTAGGACAGAAATGTTTCTATTTGTCCATCTGTGCCGGAGCCTCCAGTAAATA